GCAGCAGATGCTCTGTAAATGGTATGGATTCTTAAAAAAAAAAATCTCAGGACTTCCCCACTCCCTGCCTAGGCTCACACCACTCTTTCCTCCCTGCCCCTGCTCGTTAGCTCACACCCGTCCTTGGGGGCCTGGCTGACGGGCTCCTCCCCCAAGTGGAAGTGACCCCTCCTTCCCGGTGCCCAGGGCACAGCAATTAGGACACTATCACTGTCTTCCTCAGGTTTTCTGAGCTGGGGTTGGGGGGAGCTTTCAGACCATCAGGACCAACCCCGTTGTACAGAAGAGCAAACTGAGGCTCCGAGAGGGGGAAGAATCTCTCAAGGTCACAAAAAGACCATTGGCAGAAATAGGCTCAGTCCTCCATCCCTAGTGCCCGGTCCAGCTTGCCTGCATGCACGGATTCTCTCTGGGGCTCCTTGGGGGGCCTGGGACAGGCCTCCACAGTGCTGCCTGTGAACAGGGAGACTCAGATACGCCATCAAATGCCCAGAACCTCGGCTCCCCACTTGGCTTGCAGACACTCTGCCCCCTTCACCACTGAGGTTGGAGTCAGTGGGATCCTAAGGGGGCCTCCTCCAGCCCACCCCACCTAGGCAGCTGCTGGCAGGGTCTGGGGGGGTCACAGAGACCCTCGGTCCAGAGCCCACCATGGAAGGGAGGGCTGGTCACTGCACCCACAGCCAGTTCACGTGGCTCTGTGAGTTCTTGGATCCAGATTTCTGACCGTTCTCCCACTCAAAGCCCCTCCCCATCCTGGCTCAGGACCATCTGCCCCACCCAGGGCTTTGTGTGTGTGTGGTGGGGGGACACCTCCTTTGGGAATACTGCCCCTGATGGCATCAGGCTGGGAGAGGTGCCTCCTCTGTGCCTGAGAAGGACTTTGCACTCAGATTAAAACAGTCTAACCCTGTCCCACAGGACCCTGCATAGCTGGCCATCCTGGACTGTTCTTTCTAAGACAGAGCCTGGGTTCAAATCCAGACTTTCCTGGGTGGCCTTGGAAGGGTTACTGCCGTGCACCGGGCCATGGCTACCTCCTCTGAGCACTGGGGGCATGTGAACGGAGTGGAGCTGAGGCTGGCAGATCCACCTGCTAGGCTGTCCCCAGTACATGACAGCTGAGACTGGCAGTGCAGCTAGTCCAAACTGAGATGTGCTCCGATCATGTAAAACACATCCTGGATTTCCAAGACCTAGCACAAAAAAGAATGTAAAATATGTCATTAATAATTGTTATTACATGTTGAAATAATAATGCTTTTGGTATCTTGGGTTAAAGAAAATACATGATTAAAATTAACTTAATCTGTTTAAAATAATTTTTTTGTACTTGTTTTAATGTGGCTCCTAGAAAACAATATTCCTTAAATGCTCAGAGGTGTGGCTCACATTCTGTTTCTGTTGGCCAGTGCCCTCTAGAGGACCCTTGCTGGGACTGGGGAACAGGTGGCGGTGTGGTGGGGTCCTCTCCCAAGGCTGTCTGTAGGTGATAGGGCCTTATCAAGGACTAGGGGCCCAGGCCTGATCTTGCTGATCCCTGGCTGCTGTCTAACCCCAGATTAGGCAGTGCCCTCTCTGAGCCTTGCTTTTTGCATCAGTAAAGAGCTGGTGGGCTAGGGTCATGGTTTTGTCAGTTTGGGGGAGCCTATGGGCGAGGGAAGCTGAGCAAGGGTGGATAGAGGCCTGGCCTTCTTCCCAGGTCACGCAGATGGAGCCCCACCCAAGTACAGCCTGTCACTGTCCTTCCTTCCTCCAGAGACCCACACATGCTGCTTCCCACCCTCTTGTCCAGCAGACATATTCCCCGTTCACCCGTCTCTGGGAGGAGAACAAGCACAGTGCCCAGCTTACATAGGCCCAGGCTCGAGGGCTGGCTCTGTCCTCCCTGATCTGTGCGCCTGGGCTGAGCAAGCCCCCTGGCAGCTCTGGGCCCTGTTGATCCTTTGCAGGTGGGAAAATGGTGAGAACTTTCTGACTCCAAGGCCCAGGTAGTGGCACTGGAGGAGTCACAGCTGTGTCCCTCTGTCTCTTGGACAGCCAGGTCACACACTGCTGGTCACCTTGGATCCAGCTCTCCTCCTTCCCTTTTTGCAAAGGATGCTGGGCCTGGATCAAGGCAAAATCCACCTGTCCCAGGGCAAGGGGCTGAGTTCACTCTGATCACCTCCAGTGCCTCCGGGTGACTCAGGTCCTCAATGGCCCCCTTCAGTCCTGCTTGAACTGGCAGGCCAGCTCCAGGGATGGTGAGGAGGGCTGGGCCTGGTCCAGAACTCTCAGCGTAGGGCCCTCCTGGCTCTGGACCCTGCTCCACCATTGCTCAGCATGTCTGTTCACTCATTCATTCACAAAGTTATTTATTAGGTATCTACTAGGTGCCAGCCACTATTCCAGGAGCTGAGGATATATCATGGAAGACACAGGCACAGGCCCGGCTTCCTGGAAGGGAGAGCAGACATAAACGTAGATAAAATATGTGTCTGACTGTGTTGTCCAATACAGTAGCCAATACCTACACCTGACTCTTTACGTTTAAGTGTAAATGAATTAAAATGAAATAAATAAAAGTTTAACTTCAGTTCTTCATTCACACTAGCTACATTTCAAGTGCTCAGTAGACATGTGGCTGGGGCTGCTGTATTATCTCAGATACAGAACATTTTCCTCATTGCAGAAAGTTCTGTCAGCACTCATAGTGTGTTGTAAAGGAACAGTGATTTGAAGTGCTGGGTTGGAATGAGAGGTGCAATTCTGAATGAGGTAGTCAGGGTAGGCCTCTTTGAGGAGGTGACATTTGAGCAGAGTCCTGAAGCAGGAGAGGGAGGGAGTCGTGAGAATCTGGGGGAATAGTGTTCCAGGGTGAGGGAACAGCAAGTGCAAAGGTCCTGAGGTAGGATCTCAACTGGAACGTAAACAGCAAGAAGACCATTGCAGTGGAACTAGAATGAGCAAGGGGAAAAGTAGAAGCTCACACCAGAAGGGATGGGCCCAAACATGGAGGGCCTTGTCATCCATGGTGAAGACGTTGGCTTTTACTCTTAAAGGATACCCTGGAGCGTTCTGGGGAAAGAAGCAGTAGGGACTGGTTTGTGTTTTGCTGAAATTGCTGGCTCTCGTGTTGAATATGGATTGTCAGGGAGGACAGGCAGCTACAGGGAGGCCAGTGAGGAGGCTTCCCCACATTAGGTAAGAGATGATGGTGGCTGGCCCAGCACGGGGGCGACAGAGGCAGGGAGAAGGGGCTGGATTCTGGACGTTCTGGAGGCAGAACCCACACGGCTCCCTGAAGACTATCTGGGGTGTAGGAGCCAAGGACAGTGCTACAGTTTGTGGGCTGGGCACCTGTAGGGCGAAGGCCGGGTGGTGTGACCTTCATTCTATGGGCCTGTCTGTATCACCTGCCCAGGGGGAATGAGGACAGTCCCAGTTCAGTAACTAAACAACAGTCATTCTTACTAAACAGGCTTTGTTTACATCACAGCTGTCAGTCCCTCCCAAACCTCAGAGAAAGTGGGCAACTTCCAGGGAGGTCTTATAAACCTTTGACCTCGGGGGTCAGGGGCTTTGCAAACTGTCTTGGCCCAGAAACTGGTTGCTGCAGTCAAGGTCCACATGGAAGTCCTGTGTGCATAGCAGAAAACGCAGAGCTTCCAGATGGGGTCAGTCCTGATCCCCTCAAGGCCCTCAGTGTTGTGGGGCGGGGAAAGAGGCAGGTGGTCCCAGGGAAGGACGCCCCCCAGCCCAGGGCACCCCTGCCCTCTTGCCCCAGCGAGCAGGGTCCCCCCAGGAGGGACCGCTGGGGCTGGGGCTGCAGTCTGCCGCCAGCGGGGCAGTGGATGGGCTCCCGTGGCTGCGAGGACCGACGGACACGACGTGACCTGCATGTTGCCAGGCGTCTCTCCCAGGCCAGATAATTTCTCCTGAGAAGTGGAAAGAATTCTAAATACATCTCAGGACAATATCTATTTGGAGGGAAAGCGACAGAACAAATGGCGGGAGAGGCGAAATGTTTCCTCATTTACCTGGGGGTGAGGCAGCAGCGGCAGTGGTGGGTGGGCGCGGCCCCTGCTGGGTCAGGGGATCACTTGCCCTGGGGTTTGGCAGGCGCTGAGCCCGGCGGGGACCCCAGCACATGCGGGGGGCTCTGAGAGGAGGAGAGTGTTCAGGCGGCTCAGCACACACTGAGCGCCTACTAGGTGCTGGGGACTGTGGAGCCCTAGGGAGCCCCGGGGTCTCTGGGTGCTGTGGCAGTGAGGTGTGGAGACCCCCTGGGAGGGCAGGAGGTGGGGGTGGTCAAGGACCGCCTTTCTCGGGGGGCAAACCTGAGCTGAGCTTTGAGTGTTGTAAAGGAGCCAGCTGGGCAAAGAGGGGCCGAGGGCAGAACATTCCGGTACTGGGGACATTCAGGGCAAAGTGAGGCGTGTTCACAGGACAAAGAGAAGACTGGGAGGTGGAGGGGGCTTGATCCCCCGACCATGTGGGCTTTATCCCAGGTGCTGTGGGGACGCAGGGGATGGTTCTGAGCACAGGGGTGGCCAGAGCTGATCTGGTTTGGCAAAGATGGCACTGGCTGCTGTACACTGAGGTTGAGAACAATGCAGGAGGGAAACTGGTTTGGAGGGCAACTGGAAAAATCTGGAAGAATTGATGAAAATGATAGCTTCTTCCTTGGCCACCTGGCCTGCTTGCTCACCCCTTCCCACACAGCCCCCCTCTGATCCTTTACTCCCTCGCGTGAGTCTCCCGCTGCACCCATGGGCTACGAGATAGAGGCCCAGCTCATGTGGGGCATGCAGGGCTTCAGCCCCACGTCTTGCCAGCTGCTGCCGCACACCCCCCTGCCCAGCCTCATGCCCCACCTGAAGCCAGGCCAGGCCATTCCCACTTGCAGGCCCAGCTGCTCCCACTTCCTCCACCTCTGCCCCACCCACCAGCCCCGTGTCCCATGGCCCTGCTGTTTCCTGAGCCCCAGACACCTTTACCCCCATTTCTCCACACAGCCCTGTTCACAGAGACGCCCCACGACATGACAGCACGGATGGGTGAGGACGTGGAGATGGCCTGCTCCTTCCGCGGCAGTGGCTCCCCCTCCTACTCCCTGGAGATCCAGTGGTGGTATGTGCGGAGCCACAGGGACTGGACCGACAAGCAGGCGTGGGCCTCAAACCAGGTACTGTCCATGGGTAGATGCCTGGGTTGGGCTGGGAGAATCCTGGCTCCCCGGGGGTAGGGCTATGTCTGCCTCTCATCATCTCTGAGCAGGAGGCAAGAAGGGCCTTCTTAAGGGCAGAGTTGCTCCCTTCAGTGTACAGGTGGGAAAACAGAGGCCAGAACAGAAGCTGGCCCTAGGTTACAGGGCAAGGCCTGTCTCCTGACGCACCTTCCACCACTTCTCCAAGCTGCAAACATAGGGCAGCGTTGTTGCCAAGCGTGTTCACAACCAGGCAGGCATACCCTCCACATGCATACAGGCACGCTCCTGCAACTCACTGTGGACATGCACTCACCTCTATGCACATGCACAGTGTAGCAGACACTATCAGCACCCCACCACACACCAAGGCATACACCATCCCCTGCCACCCACCCACTGCCAAATGCCAACCACTGGGACTCTGCCTGGAACTCTGCTGGCCAATGTGGCAGGCTGGAGGAGCCCTCCACCAATGACTAACAGAGTTGTTGGATAAATACCCCAACAACCTCGCCCCTCAGTGTTCTGCATTCTCTTCCTGAGGTGCCCAGTGAAAGTAGGTTCTAGTTGCCCACAGTGGTTACTGGCTTGATAACAAAGCATTACTGACTTCCTTCCCTGTGTTGTCTCCGTCACCCACTCCCGATGTTTACTCAGATCACCTCCCAAATTAACGGCACTTGAGCCTTTGTCTCAAAGTCTGCTTCTGGGGAGAACTAGACCCTTTCATTCTTAACACTTGTGCATACACAAATACCATGCAAACACATGCATATCTACCCACTCGTTCATATATGAACACCCATACTTACACGCTTCACATGCACCTGTAGGCATGCTCACACATTCTCACATGTTCATGAAATAGCCTGTAGCATGTTCACAAATTCATTATCAAGCTCCATCTTGCTCCTGGGGGTGTCAACTCCCCAACACTTCCTGCCTGCCTCATAGGGCTTAGAAGACTCAGTGGTCAGAGAAAGCCCTTAGGCATAGAGTTGCAGGCATTTGCAGTCAGAAGCCTCAGGGTCAGTTTGCCTAGAATGGTGTGCAGGCAGGGCTCCCACAGCATCTGCTACAAACACATCACATGTATGACACACCTGAAAATATACATGCATTCAGAGAGAGACACAAGTGCACAGACACTCCTGTGGATGCCCCCCTGTGCATATCTCCAAATACCCATGAATCTAATGCAGAGCACATATGCAGTCAGCTTTACAGGCACCTCCTCTATCTTCCTGTGCTCTGACTCACTCCCAGCCCCCATGAGGACACAGAGCTGAGGGACCCCCCAACTCTAGACTCTATGGCCCCCAGAGTGTCACCTGCCATAGCTACAATCTTAGCTGTTGTCCAGACCCTGTGATGCTAATGCTTTGTCTCTGCTCTCTCTGCCCCTCCCACTCCCAACAGCTAAAAGCATCTCAGCAGGAAGATGTGGGGAAGGACGCCACAAAAATAAGTGTGAGTTTTGATAATGACTTCTTGCAAGGGCTCTAATGGAGGACACAGCTATAATTTAAAACAAAAATTTTTCTTTTGGTCCAGTTCAGCAGAAAGCATGGGCAAGAAGATGGAGAAGGATAAAAGGAAAAAAATGGCCCCACTCTGTTTTTCAAAAGCCAGAGATTTTTCAAGTTCATTGAATGACAGGCACAAAAAATGACAGAGGGAGAGAAGATGCATTCTCTCTTGTCGGGGCCAAGGCTGTGTGCGTCGCTGCTGCTCCATGTCTGTCTCAGTGGCATTTTTTATTTGGGGAACCAACAGGGTCTAATGAGACAGAGCTGGCTGTTTTCAGCCCATCATGACTGCCTACGGCAACATCTCATGGCCATGTGGGTCATCTGGCTCCCAGGGGTGAGGCGAGGAGGGGAGGAACCACAGCAAAAGGATTTCGGGCCTGGCTGAGCTTTCTAATACATTGATTCACTTTATCATTGCCACAGCTCTATGGGGAAGGGCCGAGCATTCGCCCATTTTACAGGTGGGGCAACGGAGGCTTCAAGGGGTCAAAGATCTGCTGTGGTCATGGTGTGGCTGAACTCCCTGGCGTCAGGGCAGGAGCTCATCGTCTCCAGGCTGTGCTGGTGCCCAGTGAGGCTGGGATCCAGGGCGCCCAGGGAGTGACAATTTTTGTGGAGGAGGGCCTGAAAGAGGAAGGCAGGATCAAGAAAGGAGGCCAAAGGGAAGAGCACACGTGTGGTCACGGAACCAGCCTGGGTTTGTGCATGGCATGTGAGGTCAGCCTGGCAGGAGACTAAGAGTCCACTAGCAACATATTTGGAAAATGACAGTGTCCCCAGGGGTGTGAATGTATATGTGTGGGGAGTGACCTCCAAATTCGGTCCTATCTGCTGGTTTTTCCACTTTCCAAGGACTTGTGGGGAAGCTCAGGACCCCAAAGCCAATGAGACAGGATTCACGGAGGAGCTGTGTCCCAAAGCAGAAGTCACAGTGTAAAGAGATGACACTGAGAGGCATGGTGGGGGTGTGGTGCCTGGGTATTGAACGTGGCAGAGGGGAGGCAGGGAGGCCAGGAGGAGGCACCCACAGCCACTTAGGCAAGCAGTGGGCAGATGAGAGAACAAGGGCCTTCAGAGAAACATTTGTGCAGTCTGCCCAGGGACTTTCCAAGTTGGGGTCTGGAAATTAGCTATTTTCAGCTTGGGGCAGCTGGCCTACCCCCTGAGCCCTGACCCCTGTCCTTCTGCCAAGGGCACATCCATGTGTAATGCCCCATTTCTGGCCCAAATACCCACCAGAAGCCAGGCAGGTAGAGATCTGTGTGTGAATTAACACGGCCTGTTCATCGCTACTCTATCTCCTATGATTTTGTTTAGGGTTTAAAGAGCATCTCAGGCAAAGGACAGAATAATCTAATTGATTTAGAGGATTAGAATTCGAGGCTGCTGGGCCTCACGTGAGGGGAATGTGAGATGCTAATTAGTTAAGTAAAATAAATGTGTTCGGCGTGATTCGTGATTGCGCAATCCTTCCCCCACCTCCAGCCCCTGCAATTCCTGCGCCAGCTGGGGCTCTGGGGTCTGGTTAGGGAACACAGCCAGGCAAAGAGCCAGCTCCTCATGCAGACCGCGTCACAACACGACAGTGCTTGAATACACCGATGCGGAGTTAGCGACACAGTCTAGGTGGAGGCCCAGATGTCCTTTGTGGCCCTCAATACTCCATGTGGCCTGCTCTGCTCACCTCTGGCCTCTCCCATCCGGCCTGACTTGGCCCGTCTTCCCTCCCAACCCTGGCTGTTTTCCTGACTCCCCATTCCTTCCTGCCTCCAGGCCTTGGCCCAGGGCCCAGGTCAGCCCCCCTGCCTAGAAAACTGTTTTTCCTTCAGAGCTCAGTGAAGGAAGCCTTCCTTGACCCCGAGGCTCAGCTGCAGCCCCTTACTCTTCCCTGCTGGCTACATTTCTGTCTGTAATTTTCCATTCATGTGAGTATTTATCTGCCCCCGACCCACAGGCAGTGGGCTTGGACTGTAACATTTCCAGAGCCCAGCACAGCATCTGGAACATAGTAGGTGCCCAATAAGTATTTGTCCAATAACTGTCACACACACAAACACACGCCAACGGCAATGTAAACCCAGACACAGATTTTGGTGCATATGCATACCAACATGATGTGCACCCGTGCCTGTACACGTACAGGTGACAATGAAGGCATGAAGGGGCTCGTGTGGGACCGCGGGGTCTGGAAAAACCCTGGCCCTATATCTGCAGGAGCCAAATGAGCCAGGCAGGAATTCTAGCCCGATAGTTCTATGTCTTCTAAAAATCCCAACTTTGATGGAGTCTCTTCTGGTTTTGCTACTGGGACCTAATTTGATTTCTGAAGACCACCATGGGAGCCTAGCAGCACAGTCCAGCAGCTGGCGAGCGTCGGCACCTGTGGGGTGTGAGGTGCTAGGGAGGAGGTACTGTGAGCTTCCAGGTGCTTGGTGAGGATGGCTCTGACCTGTCGGGGCTGCCATGGTAAGCCTGGGAAGCCTCAGAGTCAGCAGTGCCAGGCACCAGGTTGGGATTGTGAGGAACACAATGGGGATTGTGCCATGTGAGTGACAGTAAGTAGACAGGTTACTAGAGTGGAAACTTTACATCAATTTGTGCATCACAAGACTCCTATTCCCAGCATGCAGAGGGTAAGAGGCCCAGCTTCTCTGCAGGAAATGGGCAAGGGAGTGAAAGAGTTTCAAATCTCATAGGGAGGTGGCAATGGAGGACAGGCATCTGTGGTAAGATAATAACAATAATAATAATATGGCAGCTAACATTTATTGAGTGCTTGCCACATGTCAGGAACCGTGGGGCCACTTGACATGAATTATCTCATTTGACTTGGGGCCTACGGAAGGAGCCCTGGCCTGGAAACATCTCCCCTGGTAGCTTGCATATGTTCAGGATTTCACCATCAAGGCCTCATTCCTGTGGCTCAGGCAAATTCTTAGGCTTATTAGCCTTTTCAAGTTCTGAAATTTTTTTCGTGATCTAACTGAAGTTCTTTGTTTTAGAATTTAGGTTAATTTCCCCTTAATCAGTTTTGCAAGTAGAGATGGTCCCCAACGTCCTATTATTTTTTTTTTTTGAGAGGGCATTTCTCATATTTATTGATCAAATGGTTGTTAACAACAATAAAATTCTGTATAGAGGGGTCAATGCTCAATGCACAATCATTAATCCACCCCAAGCCTAATTCTCGTCAGTCTCCAATCTTCTGAAGCATAACGAACAGGTTCTTACATGGAGAACAAATTCTTACATAGTGAATAAGTTATATGGTGAACAGTACAAGGGCAGTCATCACAGAAACTTTCGGTTTTGATCATGCATTATGAACTATAAACAATCAGTCCAAATATGAATATTTGTTTGATTTTTATACTTGATTTATATGTGGATACCACATTTCTCTCTTTATTATTACTATTTTTAATAAAATGCTGAAGTGGTAGGTAGATGCAAGATAAAGGTAGAAAACATAGTTTAGTG